TGCTAATAGATACGAACGAAAGTGCTGTTGAAGTCTGGCAAGAACACTAGACATATAACGAAAAAGAAAGACTCAAACGGGAAAGGTTGGCGAGATCAAATACATCAGGCGAATCTAGAACTGGAAACTCTAAAAGACGAAAGACGCGAAAGCAGTCAGACTAACTGACACAAACACAGAGCAGGGCATCAGTACCTGAAGGTGGCCAGAGAGTAAAACGTGTTCCTTTGTAGCTAGCGACCTGTTAGTATAATTTATATAATCCATTAATTTTGAAGGAAATATCTGTCTGCTTTCAAATATCACAAATGAAGCAACACAAAGCTGAATAAATAATGCCATGCCCAGACGGTTTACTGAATAAATACATCCAGTACACATCGTTATCCTTGAACTAACAAGGAAAGACGAATTGAAAATTGATCTGCGTTTGATCCAAAATCCCAAAGATAATCTTTATTCTTCTTTCACAAATTGTCCTAATAACACGCAAAGTAAGCCGAAGATCAACTTGTACACATTAAAACGAATATAATTATCCCCAGTCCTGTCAAAACCTTTTATATTGCAATTTAGGTTAAATATAATACAACGAAAATTCTAGCTTGAAAGGTGTGCTTCCAGCGACACCCGTGTGAAACGTATTACATCCTGAACAAATAAAGATTATTTCTCGAACTAAATTTCACCCTACCATTTTCCGTGGAGATGGAAACACAAAATATTTAAATGTTAACTCATGTAAACCAGTTAGTCTTCCTCACTGTATAATAGAAAATTACAACATCAAAATTTCTTTGCGTTGCGCTGCACGGAAACGTATAAACTGTAATTACGAACCAGAAACGTGGAAGCTTTCCTTATCTCCAACAGGTTTTAAGATTGTTCAGCTTTTCTTTACTTGGCTAATTCAAGTGCTAAACAATTCAGTCTGCTGGGAAGATTTTTCATCGAGCGCTCGATAACGGCGTCTTCCAAACGTGCGAATGAAATGATAAAAGTCTCCACCATGATAGATTCCTGTTTAGTCTTTCTTAGTTCTTCGATTAAACTTATATACGATATGACGTCGCAAAAGCCAGTTTTCTTTCTTTCTTTCTTTCTTTTTTTTTTTTTTTGCTTTCCTGATGCAAATATACTATAATCAACCATGAAAATTATTTAGTTTATTTATTTTTCTTTTTAAAATTCCCCTTGGCACAATTTAGGCCTTGCTTGATATTACGAGACGTTGGCCAGTTTCCTAATTGCTTGATTTGCTGTCGTAAAATTCCCCGCTATCGGTTGTTAGAATAAGAGACAAGCAAAATGCAACGCACCATCGCTGTTTCTTTCCAAAACCTTTAAGGCAAGTATTTCCAAATAAAACCGCCTCAAACCGCCATCCCGTTACATAAGATCATGTCCAGTTTTCTGTTTTCCGATCATCGGAAGGGAGCCTCAAAAAACAAGCATAAAAGAATAACTAATTCCAGATTCAATACCTAACTGTGGCTTCGCCATGACAACGCCAATAAAACAACATGGAAGCGGAGTAAAGACAGCATGGCCGACAATTACCGCTACCGCATAAGAAAGAAAGGAATGTTCATGTATAGTAGGACTTACCAAAAATCTATGATGGCGCCCACTGTAAAGCCCACCGTACACATGTGTTTTGTGGCCAAACATACTCCACAGAACGTTCACACCGAGGAAACATCAACACTAGTTTGTTCAATCGACTGATTTGCGGGCAAAACGAAGAGCCTCCCAAAACTCAATATCACGAACAACGTAGTTTGCTGAACATGAATTCAAGCCCCTGCAATGAAGTTTAGATGCGTGTTGCACGTAATGTACATTTTAGCTAAACTGCATCATGGGATTAATCCTGAATGTAATGCTATTTCAAGAAACAAAATGATACCTACCAAAGAAACTGAATTTACGTGGAAAAACATGCAGGAGCATCTTGGGAGGAGCTCAGCTACTTTCAAACGGTACGCTTGTAAATCTGTACTACTTAAAGTAGTAAGTGATTATGACTGAACTTCTTCAACTCCTTTACGCGATGGAAGAACGAACTGTCACTAGGTGTGCCTTTGTATTTCATCTTCTTGGTGCCAACCTAGAAGAGAGTTTTGAGTGAAAATAATTGGATGAAAAACGCTTTAATTAACACTGAATATAAATACAAGACCTCAAAACTTGAAAGCAATCGACAGCAACAGGTCGAGATTTGGATGTCAGAGACCTTCTTAGTTATTATTTCCCGAAATAAAACTGCAAACATACAAACGGGCGCTGATTTTCATGAGAAAAAGGTGTAAAATGCTTTGCTCCATAATCAAACACAAAATCTTCTGTCAACTGTGCAGGTTTTCTTTTGCAATCTTGAACTTGTCCTGGGGAGTGAAATTGGCTTTAAGATTTGCAAAAATACAGAAACCAACAAACCGTCCATCAAGCTCTAAGTCTTCAAAGTAAACGATTACTCTTATTACTACTTTCTATTCCCTTTGGATAAACCAATAAAAAGGCCTATGTTAGGCTTGTCCAACTAGAAGTATAACGTTATTTCCTATGTTAAATTCACCGAAACAGATGATATCTTGTGCACATATGTATGAGTTCGAGAAGTGAAATGTAAAAACAGTTCTCAGACCTTTTATTTTATTTGCATAGATTACTCGATTTCTGCCTGTATGATGACAATGCGATGACAAGTGCTCTCCTGTCGAACAGAAACGTCTCAGAGAGGCTAATAATGCAAACGCACGAATAAACTGATAAAAAAGTTCAAAGTGCTTCCCTGTTTAAGCCAATTCTTCAACACTATAGAGAGGATCGCAAGCTGAAATACTCTAAACGAAGCTAAAACAGCTTAAAACGGAAGAACGCTTATAAGACGAAAGTTGCCAGATCCGTCAGACTGATTCAAGCACAGATTGTGGCGTCATTCTCTGAACGCCAATGGGAATCATGTTCCTTTAAAGAAAGTTATCTATTACTATATTTTGTATAAGCCATGATCCTTGGCGGCAATCAGTGTCTGCTTTCCAATTTTACAAATGAATCAACACAAAGCTGAATAGACAATGCAACGACCAGGTCAGTCGTCACGAACGTGGAAGATGTCCTCAGCTGACGAACGTGTTGGATAAATCAGTTGTGGACTCCATGCTTACTCGTACCCGGAGAAAAAGCTCGTGAAGGTACGTATATATGAGAGTATAAAGTTCCACTTGAAACTGCCACAGAATACGATTTTATAGTGTCTTGTAGGAACGAAAAACTCTGAGATCACCGTCCATTGACGAAGATATAGAGCAATCGAAGAAAGAGTCTATTTTTCTTTGGCCACTTAAAAATCTGTTCACATTAGTTACTCAATACCGAATATTAGACTGCATCAAAATGACGATGGATGTAAATTTTCTATAAGCCATTTAACAGTCATATCCTGGATCATCCCTAGCACCCCGCCAGCTTTAAGAGCTGTGCCAATATCTCCTGTTAAAAAACTTAAAATATGCCATAACAAAATGCCTAAAAAACGAATGGATCGCTAGCTGAAGTACACCAGACAAAGCTAAAACTGAAATAGGCTGAAAGACGAAAGATGTAAGCCTCAGTCCGTGAAGGTGAACAATGAGAATAATTCTTTTGTACCTGCTGACTAAATATATCTCTTGACGTATTTTGCATAAGCCACGATCTATGAACTAAGTCTGGTCTTCTTTTTTAAATTTTACGAATGAAGCAACACAAATCTGAATGGAGCATGCCATGTCCAGTTTGATGAAAAAATCTATCCAGTACCAATCATTATCACCGAGTTAAAAAGGCCTGACGCAAAGAAGAGAAGCATTATTTAAAAGTCCGTTTTATCCAAAGTTAAACTCACTAATACCATTCGTGTTCCTTCACAAATTCCCGTAACAAGGTGGAAATTCAACATCAAACCTTTAATTTTGAGACGAATTGCGTCTCAGTTCTCGGTATACCATGCATTGCAATGAAGATAATGACCACCAAGGCTTATTGCAGTGATTCAGCTTAAATCTGACAAAAGCTTCTGCTTGAAAACCTGTACTTCAAGCGTATGCATAGTATTACTTGCTGAAAGAATAAGATTATCAGTTTCCCGAGACAAGCTCCAAAGGGTAGCCCTGGACAGTTCAAATCCAAAACAAAAAGCCACAACAAATATTCCCCTGCGTTGCGCTGCACGGAAACAGATGAGATGTGCGAAAGAAAAAGAACATGGAAGGGCTTACGCAGGTCTTTAGATTTTCTATTTTCCATTTTGCGTGGAGATCGAAACACAAAATATATATATGGTTCCTCGTGTAAAACAGTTAGCCTGGTGTACAGAACATAATACACAAATACCCAAAGCAAATAGCCTTTGTGTTGAGCTTCACGAAAATGCATAAGATGTGCTCATTAAAAACAAAAACATGGAAGGTTTCCTCATCTTATAGGTTTTAAGATTGATCAGCTTTTCTTTGCTCGGCCAATTGTATTGCATTAATTAGTTTTTTCTAAAACAAACGAGATTCTTCGAGTAAAAGTGATCCTCTGTCGATTGGAACGTTACTTGCATAAATTCATCGGGTGCAAAATTGGCCGCCTCCCGTTGTACGAATGAAGTGTTAACTTCAGTTACCGGCTCCAAAAGAATAAATATCTCTCCTTTCTTGAACCTTGGACTAAACGCTTGTGTGATATGATGTCGTATAAGCTTTTGGTTTTCCTGATGCAAATCCTGCAAATTCACCCGATGAGTTTATTTGTTTCATACACTTCCCTCGGCAAAGGTCAATGCTTATTGTTTTTGAAGAAAAGTTATAGGGTTATTCAAGTAAGAGTTTCCTCTGGTAGGTTCGTATTGTTATCGCCATTACTGCTATTTATGTCGGTTCAAAGTCCCATAATAATATGATGGCTATTTGACAATGGCGATAGGTCTATTACTTTTCAGAGCAAGCTTTGAAGGCTGCTCATAGACAGAGATGTATCTCGATCTCATGAATGAAAACTCAAAACACACCAAGATACATAAAGACGAAGTCGCTCAGAAGCAGAAAGATACCAGTTTATGGCTACGTACAGAATTGAAAACAAAACTGAAATACGCCTGGTTGATTTGCTGAGAAAGGCCAGCTGTCAGTCTGTAAGAGGCATTCATAATGCTAAATTCCTATGTGTTGCGCTGCACGGGAACGTATAAGATGTAATTAAGAAACAGAAACATGGAAGCTTTCCTCATCTCATGCAGGTTTTAAGATTGTTCAGCTTTTCTTTGCTTGGCCAATTCAAGTGCATTACGTTTCCTCAACAATTCAGATTCTTCGAGGTCTGCAGGGAACATCTCATGGAGCGTTCGATAATGGCGGCTTCCAAATGTTAAGTCTCCAACACAATAGATACCTGTTCTTTCTCAATTCTTGCATTTAACTTGACTATAATATGACGTCGAACAAGCAAGTTTTCTTTCTTTCTTTTGGCTTTCCTGGTGCAAATGTAGTATAATCAAGTAGGAACATTATTTAATATACAATTTAATCCTGTTGCATAACGATAATGTCCAGTTTTCTGTTCTCCGATCATAGGAAGGGTGCCTGAAAACGAACATAAAAGAATACCTAAATCCAGATTCAATACCTAACTATGACTTTGCCATCACACCGCCGAAAAAACAACATCGACGCGGAGGAAATACAGCACGGCCAAAAATTACACGACCGCATGAGAGAGAAAGGAATGTGCATGTATTGGGGTAGGACTTACCAGAAATTTATGATGGCGCCAATGTTTTGAGGCCTACTTCATATATGTGTTTTGTGGCCAAACATACTCCACAGAACGTTCACATCGAGGAAACAAAAATCAGCACTAGTTTGCTTAATCGACTGATTTGCGGGCAAAACGAACGTTCTTACAAAAGTCAATATCACGAGCAGCGTAGTTTTCTGAGCATGAATTCAAGCCCCAATGAATGTACATCGTAGCTGAACTGCATTACGAGATTAATCCTGAATGTAATGCTATGTCAGGAAACAAAATGATACGTACTACAGAAACTGAATTTACGTGGAAAAACAAGCCAGAGCATGGAGGAGCACAGCTACTTTCAAACGGTACGCCTGTAAATCTCTAATACTTAAACTGGTAAGTAATCATGACTGACCTTCTTCAACTGCCTTGCCAGATGGAAAAAAGAAATGTCACTTGGTGTGGCTTTGTATTTCATCTTTTTGGTGCCAAGCTAGAGGAAAGTTTTGAGTGAAAATAATTGCATGTAAAAAGGCTTTAACGTTTTACACTGAATATAAATCCAAGACCTCAAGACTTGAAAAACAATCAACAGCAACAGGTCGAGAGTTGGATGTGAAAGCCCTCCTCAACTGTCAACATAAAAGCGTGCGCTGATTTCCATGAGAAAAAAGGTGTAAAATGCTTTGCTCCATAATCAAACACATAATCATTTGCCAACTGTGCACGTTTCTTTTGCAATCTTCAACTTGTCCAGGGGAGTGAAATTGGCTTTAAGATTTACAAAAATACAAAGAACCGAACAAGAGACTTGCAAAACTCTCTCCGTCCATCAGTCGTTTCGTCTTCAAAGTAAACGATCACCCTCATTGCTACTTTCTATACCCTTGCAGAAAGTGTTATAAAAAATTTTATCGAAGAAATCAACCAAATTTTAGATGGGAATCGTTCTTAAGAAAGTTGCATTTACAATTTGGGTACTCATCGTAATACATCCCGAAGCATGTTCTCCTTCAAACACCCCTTTCACTCATGATAGTCCTTTATCAATAAAAAGGCCTATCTTGGGCTTGTCCAACTAAAAATATAACGTTATTTCGTATGCTAAATTACCAAACGAGATGATATCTTCTGCAAATGTGTAGGAGTTCCAGTTGAAAAATGCAGAAACAGTTCTCAGACCTTTTATTTTCTTTGCATATATTACTCGATTTTTCTGCCTGTATTAGTCAGTCGACGCCAATGCTGTTATTTAGGACAATTAAATAATAAAATAAATTCTGTTCTTTTTTCGCCTTTGCGCCTTGCATGATTGCCTAAGCAAACAATAAGTGATACTTGGAGTTTGATAACTTTGATTTTACGAAGAGCAAATAACAAACGTGGAAAGTACATGTCCTCATCCAATACATGTTCTTTACGTGCCAGTATTTTCGCATTCAATAGTTTCTCTTCAATACAAATCAAAGCCCTTAAGTAAGATAACTTTCTGTGAATATAAAACTTTCCATGCATTTACTAGTACAAGGTCGCTCAGGAAATCAAATGCCCACTGCTTTCCAAATGTATACATCAAGCGATGAAAAGTGATCTCCAATCGAACACAAACGTCTCATAGCGGTCAATAATGACCGCTTCCAAACGTACGAATAAACTGGTAAAAAAGAGTGCTTCCCTGTTTAAGTCTTAACACTATAGATTACTGTTCTTTGTTTTTCAACACAAACTCATTCCCTGACTATAAATCTGCTATAAGGAGACTAAATATATATCAGGCAGAAATTTCCATTTAACGCATGGAAGGGAAATCAGTTTATACTCACAAGATGACAGATGCTAGTTGGTGGCTTCACATATACAGAATTTAAACAAAGCCAGAGTACGCTTGCTTGTTGCAGGCTGATATGTTGTACAAGATCAGTCATAGATGTGCTGTCTAAGTCACTCGAGGTTGTTCCAGTGACAAGCGTGTTGGTCTGTAACATGATTTTACTTTCCTGTTCCTGAAACATGCCATTATCTTGGACGAAGATCAATGATTACTTTTGAATTTTAAAATTAATCAATACAGACGTGAATAAACAATGCCTGCTCAATGCCCACTAAATTCATGAAAAAATAAATACTATAGGCTTGTATATAGTACTGCCCTCAATTCGAGCTTTGCAAATCAAGTCACACACAAACGGGAAAAATGTCAGTCCATCAACCGTGACAGACGAGTGAAATTGCTCTTACTTTATTTATCAGTCAAATATACTTTCACAAATTTGTTAGCAAAGTAAGCATATGCCATTTATGCCATAAAGATCTAAGATCTATTTCTCAAGATAGACAGTAATAATTTTACACTTATGGACAAGGGCACTTTCACATTGTGGAGCCTGTGGAGGTAAAGTCTGTCATAGGACAGTAAATGCAAACCGTCAAAAGGTTAGAAGTCTCAGAATAAACACATTTGCTCCGTGTTTAAGAAGAGTAAAATAAGGAAAATCCACGAAAGCTAATTAAGACGAATGGCTATCAAGCTAGATTCATAACACGTTGTGCCCGGAAACAACAATGAGGCCACCGCGAATTGTCCTCAAGTCACCTTACTTTCCAAAAATTTTTTCACGTGTACTAAAGAAAACGCCAAAAACGTCTTTATTTAAAAGCATTTTAAATATTTTTCAACAGAAATGAAATGTTTAATGAAAGGAAAAAGGTTTGGAAGCGACCAAGATGTGATGCAGCCAAAAAGCAAATATACACCTCGATACGACGAGGTGTTGCTCAACACAAGTTTTTAGATGCTTTATTTGTGGCCGTTAAATCCTCATTGTCGTTTGTTCGAATGAAGGACAAGCAATATTCAACGCACGATCGCTGTTTCTTTCTGTGACCTTTCAAGGTAATACTTGCGAATGAAACCAAGGAGAATTATCTCCTCATCATCTTGTAACGTAACGATAATGTTCAGTTTTTAGATCATCGGAAACTAAACCTGAAAGGGATCCTAAAAAAAATGATTGAGACAAGATTCGACCAACTGCGACTTAACGATCACACGGTGACAACACAACATGGACGCGAATTAAAACAGCATTTCACAATCGTAGTGCCCTCCCAAATGGAAACTACTGACTAAAAATCATTGCGTGAAAAAACCTCTTCAATTTACAGTCAATATCAATCCAAAACCTGCAAGCATGAAACATAATTCACAGCAACGCAGCCGGGGGGACGCAGAAATTGAACAGGTCGAGAGTCAGATGTCGGAGCAACATCTTCCCGACATAAATTCTGTTCATTCAAATGTCCTCTGATTTTCATGAGAAAAGAGCGAAAAGTGTTTATCGCCTTTATTTAGAAAAAAAATATTATTTTGCGCACTGAAAATTCATGTGTTTATCGCCAAGAGAAAAAGACCTGCAGGGCTCTTATTTAGAAAAAAAAAAGTATTATTTTAAGCGCACCCTGAAAAACTTCCAACCAAGCGTGATTGATGATTTCTTTCACTTGTCCAACCACAAATATAAACCACAAATATAAGTTAATTTCTTTTATACGTTAAATTTACCGCGGGAGAAGTCATCTCGTGCAAGTTTGTCTGATTCCTAAATCGTAGAAACAGTTCTGAATTCTTTAAGTTCACTGCGTATATAGGCTCCTGACTTTGCAATAATTAATACAATCTTTATCTTTAATCTATTGTTTCGAACGGTTGAAGTTTTGAATCCATTATCTTCTTCTCTGGCCTTCTGCGCTTTGCACAATTGCCACAACAAACAAACAGTGATAACTGGAGTAAATACCTCTAATTTTAAGACGTGCAAGTAAAGAAACAGAAAAGTTGAAAGTATCCTTATCCAACACAGGTCTTGGCATTTAGAAGATATTCTTTGCGTGGCCCATGAAGCTCTTTCTACAAACGGGACTACTTTATTTCCTCAGTCGATCCTTGGACTTGGACCGTTTTATGTACAAATATCAAACGACAGGAAGATCACCTGACGCAAGTCTGGGACAAATCAGCTGTAGAATCAATCCTTGCAACAATACGAATTCTTCATACCCGGAGAGAAAGCAACCTCAGGTGTATTAACGTAATAGCCAGCCAAAGTTTTCATGTCATCACCTCTGTTCACATTACTTTCGCGATGCATTAACATTAGAAACAAAATAGCGATGGAAATAATTCTTCGATGAGGTACCAAAACGTCTTGTTTTGCATCATCCCTTCCCACAGCATCCGTTGGAATGGAGTCTCTGTTTTCAGTCCATTTTCTGTAATCCATGGTGCGCCTACGGTATCAAATCAATATTCCTGAACTACTACAAAATTGCCTTATTCCCTCGTATTTTTAAAAGAATTGACTTTTGCGAGAACATTTCAGATACATAAAACTCTCTTACTTCAAACAGATAGCTTTTGAACAATAAAGGTCGAATCTAGAAAATTCGTGTAGAATTCAATGTGCAAACTCTCTTGTGTGAACTCCAGATGAATGGACAGAGGAATTAAATATGACAAACAGATACGAAGTATAATCACTTGAGGTAACTATTGGTGTTTAGATTATGGTTATTTGCTCCGTACTATAATATTTTTGCATTTGTAGGCAAGGCTTTTTCACATTATGCAGTCAGTAGAGGTAACTGTAAGTCAGAAGGCAGTAATTCTGGTCCAATCCGTCAATGCCAACAATGCCATTTGCAATATTAGTAAAGGAGTGACATATATGGAAAAAGCAACAAAGCTAATATAGGACGACTCAGCTATCCAACCAAACATATACCACGGTGTGTCCAAGGAGAACCTTGATGCCACCACGAATAGTTCGGAGTCGTTGTTGTTGTTTAGCCAGATCACTTTCAGAAAATTTATGTCGCAAATTGTAGCCATTGAAAGTGGACAGTCTGCAAATTATAGTAGTTGCTAAAAAATATATATCTACGTGTCGCAACTGTTCATCAGTAGGATGCCTAAAATGTGTGCAATTCCACAATTGGTTTCGGCTCCATTAAATCTTACACCAACTGCAGAACATTTTAGGCATCTTTGTCTACAAAATGAAATATAACAGCATGGCGCGATATAGCGTGTGGCCCCAGTCTATCGATTTATGTCATCTAACGATCTATATTATATGTTCTTTTGTTACCAGTTATGAACGAAAAATCTAGCAAGTATAGTTTCGATCTTTGTTGACAATTAATGCTTGTCCTCTTGTTCAAAAAATGGAGGAATGCCCAAAACTTGAAAATGGCTTAACTGTCCAACAAAGGACTCATGTGGTAAAATAACAGTTATAAATAAAAGTATTCAGCAACGTTTTCCGCAATAAAGGCGACACGAACGGGAAAAACTGATCTCGGTTCACAAAAGGTTCGTGCGATTATAAAGATTTCGTGTTTGAGTGATCCATGCCCTGTGTTAAGATCAATTTGTCTTCTGCGCTTCATTTTCTTTCTTTGGAGCATTACCAATTTCTCTCGCTTTACTTTACCGAAGATCTAACCACAATCGATCTCCTCCTTTCAGAAATTGCCTTATCAAAGGAAAATTACTTGGATTAAAATCTCGGATGCTTTCTAGCAGAGAAAGACGAATTACGTTTCAGTTCGTGTTCTGAATGACGAACGGAAAACAAAGAATCGACCCAATTGATCTCGTAGATGCGGATACTGCGCACACACTGTAATCCATATCATTACCTATCACACTTCGCTGGGTTAAAATGCTACAAAGCTTGAAATGGGTTGATCTCAAAATCCTAGGTCTAATCTTAGGAGCTCTACCTGACTGATTGTGTCCGCAACTTTCTGGTTAAGGTGACTGAAAACGTAGAATATTCGTTCTATAGCAGAGCAAAACATTGCAAAGTAGCAACCGAAACTGAGAGTTCTGCTCACTCAATACCAACTGCTTACTTAGCCAAGCTTTCGTCGGGCAGTTAACTAACATTGTTTAAAAATGTGCACAGAATATACTCCTATGATTGGAAAACCCCCCTGTAAGTCTCGTCTAACGTAAATGGCCATATAAAATGCAAGAAAAATTGTTCGCAGTCACTTTAATTTGTAGAGCTACCCACCGTCTATTATCGAAAATTCCTTACAAATACATTCGAAGTATCATTTCCACGCAGTGCTTTATGGAACTAACTTCCTTGGTAAGTGGAAAGGCTTGAAATAAGACAATAACTTGCTTACCCCACTAACATAAGGCTTGGATGGAAACAGTCAAGCTCCCGTTATACATGACAACCCAACAAAATTAGGAACGTTTTCCAATTTCTGGCTGTGTCAGTCAATCAAAATCGATGTTATCATTATTTTCAATCTATTCTTTGGGCAGTTGAAGTTTAGAATCAAATAGCCTCATCTTTGGTCTTTTACTCCTTGCATAACTGCCTAAACAAACAACAAGTGATATCTGGAGCAAATAACCGATTTGAATACCGCCAACTAAAGAATCAGAAACGTGGAAAGAGTCCTTATCCAACAACGGTCTTGACATTGATAAGATGTTCTTTGCTTTAGCCAGTATTTTTTCAATTTATAGTTTCACCTAAATACAAATCAGATTCCTTTAGCATGATCAACTGTAGCTATGAATCCCTTGCATCCATCGCCATGTCGTTGAGGGAGTCAAATGGCCGCTGATTTCCAAATGCATGAATCATTCGATAAAACGTTCAAAGTCGTCTCTCCGCCCATGAAGATAATTTCGGAAATTTTTCAGTCCATCCTTGGACCTAACTTACGTCTGATTTTCTAGTCGTACAAAATGAAGTATAAGTCGTCCCGAACGTGGAAGATGTCCTCACCTGACGAACGTGTTCAATAAATCCGTTCTGGACTCGATGCTAACAATAATAAGAAGTCTTCGTACCCGGAGAAAAAGTTCGTTTATGTATATGAAAGTATAAACTCGACTAAAGAGAGTTTGAGACACTTCTACAAGAAACTGCTACAAAATAAGATTTTATAGTGTCTCGTAGGAAAGAAAAACTCTGAGATCACCGGCCATTGACTAAGATATAGAGCAATCGAAGAAAGAACCTACTTTTCCGGAGGAACATCGGTAATTCTGTGGCCGTTAAATCTGTTCACATCTCTTCCTCAATGCCCAATATTAGATTTCATCAAAATAACGATGGAGGTAAATTTTCTATGAGGCATTCAACAGTCATATCCCGCATCCTTACACCCCGCTTTAAGAGCTGTGCTAATATCTCTTGTGAAAAGAAACTTAAAATATCCCATAACAAAAATATCCAAAAACGAATGAATCGCAAGCTGAAATACACCAGACGAAGCTAAAACTGAAAAACGCTGAAAGATGAAAGATGCGAGCTCAGACTAAGAGAACAGAGAATGTGGCCTCAGTCCGTGAAGGTGAACAATGGGAATCATTTTTTGTATCTGTTGAGTCCAGTCAAATGTTGATGTATTTTGTATAAGCAATGATCTTTGAAAGAAGTCTTAAATTTTACGAATGAAGCAACACAAATCCCAAAGGAGCATGACATGTCCAGTTTGTTGAATAAATCTATCCAGTACAAATCATTATCCCCGAATTCCAAAGGCCTGACGTAAATAAGAGGAGCATTATTTGAAACAAACTCCACTTTATCCAAGTTTAACTCTCTAATACCATTCTTACACCTTCCTAAATTCCCGTAACAAGGTGCAAAATAAGCTGAAGTTGAATGTCAAACCTTTACTTTTAAGAAGAATTGCGACTCAGTTCTTAGTATACCCATTAGAATGAAAATAATCACCCTCAAGGCTTATTGCAATGATTCAGCTTAAAGTTGATAAAAAGCAGCTTCCCTGTAGAAACGTGTACGTTAACCGTAGGCAAAGTATTACTTGCTGAACGAATATGATTATTTTCCCAAGATGTATCTCACTCTATTATGCTTTAAAAGTTAGCCCTGAACAGCCACAACAAATATTCCCCTGTGTTGCGCCGCACGAAAACGGACGAGATGTGCGAAAGAAACAGAACATGGAAGGACTTACGCAGATATTTAGATTTTCCATTTTCAGTGGTGATCAAAAGACAAAATATTAGCCCTGTACAGTACAAAATAGACAAATACCCAAAACAAATATTCCTTTGTGTTGAGCTTCACGAAAATGTATAAGATGATGTGCGCATTAAAAACAGAAACATGGCAGGTTTCCTCACCTTAGGTTTTAAAACTGATCAGCTTTTCTTTGCTCGGCCAATTGTATTGCATTAATTAGTTTTTTTCTACAACAAACGAGATTCTTCAAGTAAAAGTGATCCTCGTCGATTGAGAACGTTACTTGCATAAATTCATCGGGTGCAAAATTGGCCGCCTCCAGTTGTATGAATGAAGTGTTAACTTCAGTTTCCAGCTCCAACAGAATAAATATCTCTCGTTTCTTGAACCTTGGACTAAACGTATATGTGCTACGTTGTCGTATAAGCCAGTTTTCTCTCTTTCTTTTGGCGTTCCTGATGCAAATCCTGCAAATTCACCCGATGAGGTTGTTCGTTTTATACACTTCCCTCGGCAAAGGTCCATGCTTATTGTTATTGAAGAAAAATTATAGCGCCATTCAAGTAAGAGTTTCCGCTGGTAGGTTCTATTGTTATCGGCATTACAGCTATTTATGTCGGAACAACCTCCCATAATATGATGGCAGTATATTATGACAATGGCGATAGGTCTATTACTTTTCAGAGCACGCTTCGACGACTGCTTATAGACACAGATGTATCTCGATCATTAATCGGAAAACTAAAAACATACCACGATACATAACGACAAAGTCGCTCAGAAACTGAAAGATACCAGGTTATAGCTACGTACAGACTTGAAAACAAAACTCAAACATGCCTGTAAGTTTCTGGTTGATTTGCTGTGCAAGGCCAGCCGCCAGTGGCATTGATAATGCTGCCTCATCACTGGGGGTCAATTGTCCCAGTGAGAAGCATGTTCATCTGGAGCATGTCTCCACCATAAAATATGGTCGGTATAAGCAATGATCTTTGGTGAAAATTAATGACTGCCTTTAAATTTTGAAATTAAGCAATTTGTGCTACTGTGAGTAGACAATGCCTCTGGTCTCTTTCAACTCAAAACCTATAAAAACTAATCCTAGGCTTGCAATTAGTAATACCTCAATTTAACTGAGGTTTGAAAATCAGGTCACTAACATTAGAACACTGTTTCGGTCTATCCACTGCAATTCATGACTTATTGTATTATTATTATTATTATTATTATTATTATTTCCCCTGAACTATCAAGAAAATGTCTTGTGTTGAGGCAGTGCTACGAAAGGTCGCGTAGGAAATTACTCTCACTCCACTTATCTGCAGTCATCTTCTTTCATAAATTCTCGTGGTAACGTGGAATTTAAGCTTATACTCTGTATTCTAAAAAAGAACCAAGATCATTTCATGGGATAGACAGGAAAATGAAAGTAATCACTCCCGTTACCGTGAAAGCAAGGATTCCAACGGCTCAGCTTAAATCTGATACAAGGCTCTGTTTAAGGTCTCCTTTAACTGTACAACTGCGAAGGTATAATAATTATATTGATCTGTCGAAGTTAGTGTGAACATCAAGGATATCAACTAATTCGTTATTTCACTTTTTCCAAAAACAGAGAACTCACAATGCAAAAATATTTGTGGGAAGTCTATATGAAAAGAGGGAAGATTTCGAATGTCAAACTGATGAAAAAGTACAGTCAAAGATAAGCAGTGGTGTCGCGATTACAGCTATTTGCACGGTGACGAACATAATTACGCACTTGCGGGCAAAGGCACTTACACATAAGTTGTGCAGCCAGTAGAGCTAGCTTTATGTCACCGTGCTGTAGTTTTGATCCATTCTGTCAATGGTAAGATTAGACTAATCACGCTTGTTTATTTTTCACTTTGTTTACCAGGAGTAAAAAGATAAATCAAACAATAAGGCCAATCAGGACGAATGGCTATCGAACCATAAAACGTTGTGCCTACAGACAACTGGACCAACAAACTATTCAGTCGTTTTGTCGTTTTCTTAACCAGTTTACATTCAGAAATTTTCTCAGCTATTATGTGGAAAAAATGAACCATAACAAAGCGCAGCATAGCGTGTACTTACAAGTCATAATGTATGTCATCTAGCTATCCGTAATGTTCTCTTTTTATTAGTTAAAGTAGTAAACTAGTAATTGACTTCGTAATTATTACGATCTTTGTTGACGATTTATTCTTGTTCTCGAAATTTAAAATAAAGGCCTCACAAAACGTGAAAGATGACCTCCTTATCTATCAATTACTTCGCATGACAAACGATTTAAGCCGTAAAATAATGATTATATAATTGTGGTTTCACCCACGTTTTGGGTTCGGTAAAAAAGAACGACACAATCAACCAAAACTGATCTCGATCCACGCAAGGTTTTGTGCAGCCAGAGTGGTTCATGGCCATGGATAATCAATTTGTCTTATGCTCCTCGTTTTCTTTTTTCTTTTTGGAAAATGGCCAATTGCTCTTACTCTTACCGTGATCAATCGCTTCTTGTCATAGATTTCCATAAATCTTTGAAGCTTCTTAGCAGGATGAGAACAATTACATTTCAAATTAAGAAACTACACAAATTGATCAGGTAGAGAACATTCAATTGAGAGGTGTCTGTAAGGAGTCTATTAGGTTCTTGTGTATACACACTGTAATGCCAAATGTCATGGCACAAAATGCTCACTGATTTAGAAACTACTTGTAGCTTACTCTATTGGTTCGAAATGCTACTAAGCTTGAACTGGGTTGATTTCAGAATCCTAGGTGTAATTTTAATAGTCATACGTGACTCACAGCCTCCAGAGTCCAACTTGCTGATTGAATTGATTTGAAAACATTATATTCCTTGAAGAATATAGAAAACCATTCGAAGGAAGCGCACAGAACTGACAGTGTTACTCACTCAATGCTAACTACTTGCCTAGCTAAGCTTTCCTCGGTTAATCCACGAATGTTGTACAGATATTTGCACATATTGTCTCAAGACTGGAAAACCCTCATGTAACTCTCCTGACCTTACCTAAAAGTCTAAATCTAAAATGACAGAAACATTGTTCGCCGTCATATTAATTCAGAGGAATTACTCGAAAATTATTGAGAATTATTTACCACTAAATTCGAAGAAAGTTTCCAGCGTTGTGCTTTATAGAAGTAGCATCTCTCTTATGCGAGAATGCTTGAAATAAGACACAGCAACTCGCTCGCCGAGTTGAAAATATGAGTTGAATGGGGGCAGATATGCCCAGCACACAATTCTACGAAATGAGGAGAAAATGTTCTTAATTACGCGATACGGCATGACCAACTGATCTTCGATATGCAAAGGAAAGACTGACACATCAGATTTCTTCAGCAAGCAAGTTGAATAGCACTTTTACATGTACGAAAACAAAACGTAACGCTGAAAAGTTACCTTGTTCGTTATCTACTAGCTAATAATAATGAGGTTAATGTAAATACTTCATGGACTTGGCATCACAATGTTTCAGTTACAACCTAGTGCTCTTTCCTAATAATGCAAATCTACAATGCAAACGGGAGACCAAGACACTTTTTGAAAATCCCCGGAATGCGCAGACCGAATCAAAATGGAAGAAGAAAAGGGTTTCGAGGATCTGTCTGACGTGATACAAACAAAGAATCTGGCATAAAAGAACAATGAAAAACAAATGTCACAGAGGTTCTAAAGGTATTCACTTATTGACTTGAGCACAAATTCAAATTTTGCACATCATCCCTATGCAGAATATTTCTACCCTCTTGAATGCTAATTAGACTAATCGAAAATACGGGCGAAGAAACATTAAAATACAACCGAAACCACAGTCACTGCCAATCACTACTCAATGCTGCCTATTTCGTGACAAAACACTGTACTATAATAATCAAGATAGGCGAAGTGGTAGCATTATGTTTCCATTTCAAAACTTCCAAACAAACAAGAATAGTTCTCAAGAAGTAAAAGTAAGCTCTTTTCTAAACAATGATCACTAAGAGGTACGGCAAGTTTCTACTACTGCACATCGTGAACTACTGCATGCACTGCTTATCCCCTACGTGTAAGAGTGTGTTTTCTTTCGACCTCTGTTGTGCAATTCTGACAAGCACCAAAATATGACCGAGAGGTCAGGGGAAAGAGAGGGGGGAGTGGATGGCTTAAATCTGAGTGTGCAATTTCTGATTAAAACAATTTTTCCGTGGTTAATAACTGAAATAATAATAAATACCGTGTTCAAATGATGAACATTTGAATATGTTAGTTCTAATAACAACTTTCAGTAGCGTTTAGCCAGAAATTCATTTTGATTGCTATTCTACGGGAGTCTTTTTTACCACTGTGTGATCTACCAACGAATTGGTTTCCACAACAAATTATATGACAGAAATGAGTTACTAAAACTCTCGCAGTAGGCTGATTTGAGCTAAGAGCGTGTTGAAAACCAAGTTCACAGATGGTCATTGCATAAGTTTTCAAAGGTTTGCTTCGCTGAAATTGTAGTCCAGAAACCTTTTGCAACATATTTTGAAATTACATAAGAGAAGAGAAATTAAAAGCCCTTGCAACAAACAAAAAATAATTATATAGTATTATATAGAGCAGTGCACCTTTTCACGCTGTGATATCGTGAAATATGGTGGCCAAGAAGTAAATTAAATACATGCATTACATTCAAGCCTGTCTACCATTCGTAACCGAGAGCGTGAAATATGGCGGCCAAGAAGTGAATTAAATACAAGCAATACCTTCAGGCCTTTCTACCATTTGTACCCGTCTAGAGGTATCTGGTACATACCTGAAGCAGGCGTTTGGGCTTAATTTATTCAACTGACTGCTCCTCAGGCCTCAGGTTCCCCAGGACTCAAAGTGAACTGTAATTAAACAAAGCGATCCCTCGGTATAAATATGGCACATGCAAATGGCTCAAATCAAACGAACAGACATTTTTGCCAATGGAGTCATTTAAAACTACCATCAGAATTTTTTCCCTTTCGTCCAGGTGACGAGGCTATGTGCAAGGAAAACGAAATCCTGAAGCATTCTGGTTACCGCAGGCTTCAAATGACGCCATGATGAAATAGGCCTGTACTGAGAACTGCCATTTTACCTGTTGTATTTAGCTGTGTTAACAACTGGGGAAAACCTGTATGCACTTCGTTAACATTGAGCAATTTAAAAAAAGCCGTGGATACCTGCTTATCCTTTAAAATGTGATTTTGCAATCTGACATCATCATTCAGCGGCGATGTGGGTTTAGGTTTGTTTGGCGGGTGGGGGATTGTTTTGCACAATGTCTGCTTTGACAGCAACAATCGTGGCAAAAATTTACATGACTTACGTTATTCGACAAAATTGCTTACCAGTCAAAAACCAGATTTCAGCCGTATGTTCAATTGGGAAAACATTATTCCATTAAGACTCCATAGCACTCTTCGTTATGATTTATAGTTGTAAACAAAAGGTCACGAGAACGGCGGCAGTCGAAAACTGATCCGGGACTTGGCAAGCAGGTAGTGGGGGTTGCTCAAAAGGTTGAAAGGGACTAGTACGTAGGTACTGGTTCAGTTGACTTAAATTCTTCCGGTTTATGGTGAGCTGCAAACTTTAAATAAACATTGCAAATACCGGCTATTGGAACAATCACGAGCATTAATATCACACTTATAAAATCATGACATTAAGATAGCCTGCATGGTAGCCGTTAAAAAGTAAAGGGAGAATTTGGGCGCTCGAGAGAGCGAGGGGTGCGCTAAAGTGCTTCCAGGGGTATTCTCGAAATAAGGGGAAGGGCACAATAGAACTGTTTAGATTTGATCAAGGAAGAGAGAATCTTGGAAGAATATTCCCTCCATATACGGGTATTTTTATTGCTCACTTAGCCTGTTCGGTCAATTAAGATGGCCTCAGAAGTTTATCTTTTCATCCATGCTTCCTTACAGCTGTTCTGCATGTCTTCAGCTTAAGGTGTTATATCGGTGTTTAAGTCAGTTCTCTGACAAATCAGAAAAAGTCACCCAATCCTAATTGTTTCTGTACTGCAATCAGTGAAGCCTTGAACTTGTTTTTTCGTTACATCGCGTTTCCTTGAAATTTGTATTTTAATGAAGATTATTAATTTTTTTTGTCTTGTTTTTTTGCTAATGTAATTCTATATTTTGTTAATGTAAATAAAATTACTTTGAGATGCATAGCCCCTATGAATACCAGCCTGTTTTAAATAGTTTTACTTTTAAGTTGACATTACTTAACATTACTTGCGATAAGACCGATCCTCGATAAACAATAATTTATTGCATTTACTTACCCTTTGGAAAATAATACTACCCAGATATCTGTTGTATTCAAGGGCATAATGCCGTTTTACTTGAGGAATGATTTATTACAAAAGTTACTAATTTTTCGCTGATGCTAACTTCAAGAGATAATTTATTACGTGGGGGTGTGCTAAGGCAGTATTGGGAAAGTCCGTAATACAGCTGCTGAATTCTGAAGAAATTATTTGTTGAAGAAGCTTTGATAAGCTTCTGCAAAACAGAGGTTAGGCAAATTAGCTTTCTGTCGAGACTTGTGACATCTTTCGTATTATGTGAAAAAACACGGTTTGGATGGTGTTACATGTCACGGCCTGTAGATGCAGGCACCCCCTAACCTGGGCAGGGTGGGGTTTGTACCCAATTTGTCCTGACACTGGCAATAAATTATTCTTAATGCCAGCTGATCCTATGTATTTTCTCCTAGTGTCTGGGTTTGAAACTCTCAAATCAGCGGCCTACCCACTTAACTAAACTCAAGTCAATTATAAAGTACTTTCCCACGGGGGTGCAGTTGACGTTTGTTCTCATGCAATGTGTATTAATGTTTGTTCTTTGTTTGTTTTTGGTATTTAGATAAATCACCCAGTCCTTTTCCAGGTGTCAAGCATAACGCGATGAGTGTTTCCTCTGAGCTAAGACCATTATACAGACTCACTTCAGTTAAACAAGAGTGTACAGAAGAGGAACTGAATAGCTTAAGTAATCTGGCAAAACAAGTATTCAGTTTTCAATCTAAAACTAACAGTGCCCATATTGGCCAAAAATGCCCCATCAATTGTCCGTGTAAATGCCACCTGCCATCTCCACTCCCTGCTGGGAATGCGTATCGGCCTTCTGTGATAATGGCTCCAGTGGTCAGAGAGCAAAGGGGATCATCTGTGACACATTTTCCGCTTAGGATGCAGGTAAACTATAAAATAAACGAGGGTCATATTACACCAACCCCTCGCTATGGAAAGGACTTTTGCATACCCAGTGCAATATCATCGGGCTATGCCATGCTGATGAGTCCTAATGAGGACGAAACAGCCGTCCATGGCTGCCACTGCCGGGTTAATATGGTTGTGCGCATGCGTAAGGTACTGGCCATACGGCGGAGTTGGTACGTGTGTTTCAGTGCTGAAATTGGTATTATTCAACATCATCGGGGTTAGCTATAGCCATGGGAAGTTCTTTCGTCCGTGTTAGGACATTATCGACTATCACAACCGTTGGATGTCCTAGCCTCCCGAGCATACTTTCTTAGGGCCTATTACGCCTTCCAAGGAACGCGTAACGAAGTCTAAATAGCCTGTTCCAGGCATTCAGATCATGGGGACGGCGCGATGAGCTGTGAGCAGAGAAAAAATTTTTCCCGCTCTCTTCTCGTCGCACTCCACTTTCTAAACGCCTGGAACAGGCTACAGCCCAAAGGACCGTCTCTATGTTGGCTCCTGATGGTCGTGAGTATCCTCAAAGTTTGTCTATACTTGAATCACGCCAAAAAAGCGAGGCTAATAGAAAGAACATTTTAACGTTATCACAGGCCCCAAATTGTTCCACAGGGGTGGACTAAGCGAGCTAACTGTACTCCATAGGAAGGAGAAAGAGGCGAGGTTAGTAAGCGCTAGGAGCTTAGTAAACTACAAAATAATTCAAAACTGCCTTTTCAACTACATTTTGTACCAAAAATGTAAATGAAACATTAGTAAATGAAAATTGCTCCGAAATTCTCGGAAAGAGGAAAAAAGAGCAAGTTGTTCAATTTATTCAGTGTCTTGCTCGATTAATAAGAGCTTGCGCATTGCATCGTGCTCAATATCAGGTCACTCAAAGTAAGGACTCCCATACACCGTATTTGAGCTTTAAAAACCCTATATGGATCTTCAAACGGCCTATAGATTTCAATGGGTGGACTGGATAGACTGTTTTTTTTTTATACTGTGGTGGTATATTCATCGATAGCCAGGGGCGCTTCTGTCAACAGCATTTTAGTTTTGTGGAGTTTTTTTTTTTTTACAGTTTTTTTAAATAAACGCCTCTCTCTCTTAGACGCCTTCCATCTATTAAACGCAACCCGCTTGGGTTCCTGGGCGCCTCTTAGATCATTTACAGGCACAGAGCTTGTTTTCTTACTGACCACCACCCCCCGGGGGGGGGGGGTATTCGCTAAATCCTTGGGTGGGGAGGTGCGGCCCGGCCCCTCATACCCAGACCCTGTTTAAGACAAAAATCGCTGATTTTCCTAGTAAACTATTTCAGAACAGATAGCTTTATGCACTGTTACTAAAATAAATTTTATGGCACTTTTTTGCCCACGAACTATTTATAGCAAGATAAACTAGTTGTAGCTTTCGCTAAGTGCCAACGAAAGAATAAGAATTTGCCTACATTAACGGTTTTAGTTCCAGTGTTTATAAAACCATTTCAGCTGCTGAGGCGAGAATTTCCACTACAAGCCCAAGCACTCGTCGTTCCTACATTTCTGCCATGCTCTTGGCCTCAAAATCGCTCTTTTTCTTCTGCTTAGACATTTTTGAACCTTAAAGTTGTCGAGTTTCAAACAGCGAAAGAGAAATAACATTTATAGGTTAGAGCGAACTTGAAATAGCGAGTTGTACTTCCTACGTGCGGCAGAGGACAATGTCCGAGCTTTGAAGGGTTGTTTACAACAAAGGTCATCAAAAGTCACGTGAAACTACATGTGAAATCTAACGCTACTAAAATCTGCAGGGAATCTACACCTTACATTACATTACACTTTTCACCGCACGATCGAGAATTTTTCTGCCTGCTGCAATACTTCCGCGTGGCATTAGCTGGACGCCTCGCAAGCCGGCCATCTTCGCTCGGCTTGCTCGTTGGCAATAACAATGATAAAATAAGAATCATGAATGGTTTTGTCGCGGCTTAATAAGAATAGCGCTATCCTGACAAAGGCAGACTTTAACTGAAACGAAAAATTTCACATTAAAAATACTCAAAGTGGCGCTATTCGACTGTGCGATCAATGAAAACTGCTACAGTGTGGATTGAGGACGGTTTCCCACTGCGGAGCATTTGGCAGCTCCAGTATCCCAGCCGCAGCGAATTTGCCATCTGTTAAAGACCAAAAAGATGCAAATGCCCGGGGGTTAGCCCGCGAGGCGGGCAGGGGGTGGCTGGTCGCAGTTGGCTTTGACTGATGCATAAATTAAAATATTTCCTTTAAGTTTGCTCTTTTCGATACCCAATGCATGATATAAAGAGCAAAAGCCTTTGAGAAGAAATTGCATCTCACCTGGCAGGATTGAGGATGAACAGTTAAGGTTGTAACTTACAGTAGCAAAAAAAGAAAATTGAGTCGTGCCGATTGTTGTGTTAGCGGGAGAACAAGTAGTGAGGATTATTATGGGGTACTGTGTATGTATGATCTCTCAGTGTTATTAATTAGCTGAAAAAGGTAGAATTGAAATTAAACTTCCGTTGCCAAGAATTTGTCCGGTTTTTAGAACAGACGGATAAACGTCAGGTATATTTCAGGAAAGGCTGTCACACAATAGCCTGTGTACAGAACCCCTCCCCTCAGAAAAAAAAAATCAGATTCTTCTCCGATTTTTTGCTGAGGGGAAGGGGGTCTGTACACGAACTATCTCACAATTGCTCTATTAAAATCAAAGATACAACTCAAGTCTTGATGACAAGTAGTAAAGGTCTTGTAATAAGTAACGCTGCTCACGTGCTCCTTTAGTCAGAAGGGAATTTCAGTTGAGTTTCTTGCGTAGTTTAAAAAAAAATTAAGTTTCCCTAAAAGCATTTCTAGGTAATTTAGGAATATAAGTTGAATATGAGACAGGCATTTTAATATTTCAAAAGTAACGGAGGTTACACAAAACCGGAGGTTGATTTTATCTGACGCTGTCTTTGCGATTTTCAACCCTCTGTTCTGTGAATGGACTTAAACAATACTCATGTGTTACAATTCATGTATAAATTCTAACATATTATCATAAATATATTACATTTTTTACTCTCAATTAGCAATTATTAGACGAGGTTGAGCAAAATATCGTGATTTGTCAGTGGCGAGCAGATCAATTATTTGCCGAAGCTGGCTTTTTTTAATATTTTCACTGTTCTTTTGATCGAGTAAACATGCCAAATCGCTCTCTGCCAAGTCGGCGAAGCGATCTGTCATGATCGCAAGAAGGAGCAAGAGTGGTTTCATTTACGCCTGAGCAGAATAGTATTCGCAGCCAAAAACAATTGAACGACATTGCGCATGAGCACACCATTATTTGTAGGCAGTTATTTGCAGGTCACGTGGTGGACTCTCCGCTAATGAAAAGGAAGAAACATTTGCATCGAATGATAATTCAATTTATTTTGCAACTTTTGTCGTATTTAAACGCGTTCTACCAACAAATTCCGGAAATTTGATCCAAATTTGTTTAGCATTTATTCATTTCAAGTTATGTGCATCGTCATTTAAGACGGTCTGTAATTACAAGAGTGAGTACAGTTGGAAACGGAATGAAACATTTCCTTCCTTCTGTAACTTCCCTTACCAAAACTTATTTTATAATCACTCACATGTTTCCAAACTATGATACAAGTGAAAAAACTCTTTTTTTCCAACAGGTTTAACAAAATGATGTTTCCTCTACGGTCTTTATTAAAGAAATAACAATAAAAACACAAAACGACAATTTTAACCTCTCGATATTTTGTTACGTCAGACTAAAGTATACCACCTCTGACGAGTTGAGCAAGATCCAACATATGGCAGAACAAAGTGACTTTTTCATTCCTTGAGCCAATGACGTAATTAAAATGTAAAACTTGGACCTTAGTCTGCCACAGATTTCATTTTAATTTCTTTAGAGAAAACTAAATTGAAAAAAACATAGATATTTTCGAAAAACCGTGGCACATTTTGCCCACTTCCAATGGGTGATTTTAAAAGAAAAAGGTGCTTGTAACTCATTGACGGACGTACAAGGGGTTTGAAGGTGGATGCCAACCTCTGAGGTGTTTCTGAGTTTTTTCGGATCATTATAATAAGTTTCTGCCTCATGGGTTCCTGGTTTCTGGGAAACTACCCACCTACTCCTCCCCTAAGCTAGCATTAACGCTCACCTCTCACTTGGGGCAAAATGTTGGCTTAGGGGAGGGGTAGGTGGGCCGTTTCCCAGAAAGGTATAATAATCCGTTTTTTCCTAGACGATTAAACATCAGCACCTGACGTTTTCAGTAGCTGTTTGTTTATCCTCACGTGCATTTTGAGACAAGTTTAGTGATGATCAGTTATTATAGTTACGAGATATAAGGTCATAAGTAGAAGGTAGTCAAGCCATGTTTGAGTGAAAATGCATGTTTTTTCAACTTTCGTTCAACGATAAAAATAAAGCTCGTGGATAAAATGAAGCAAAGGACTTATGTTTTAAGTTACCAATTACCAATTCTTGCCGTTTTTCCCTGATTCCTAATTCTTGGTAAAACCCAAGATTGCGACATATTTGGTGATCGTATTTGTGGGTTCCACTTGTAATATGGCAAGCAAAATTTTACACAGCTTGCAAATTTTGTATGTTATTTCTTGTCGTATTTGCCCATACATTTGAACAATAGTATGATTTACTGCGAACAAAGGTGTTTAAAAAAGATAGTCAAGATGATCTTGTTATCAAATGTGCGTGTTACGCGATTTATTTGCCCAAGGCGAGACAAACAAGTAGAAACGTAACGGTGTTGATTATATGTTCATCGTATGACAAATAAGGGTCCAATGTCACACCTACGTCCTTGGCTGTTTGAGTAGGAAAGATATCTTTTCCTAGTAGAGATACACTGAAGTCTTGTAATCTGGGCAACAACTGCCTACTGCCAAACACCATCAGCTTGGTATTGGTTAGGTTCAAGAGCAAATGGTTTCTGAACACCAGTTCCTTACATTAAACAGGTCTTCGTTCATATAAGAGATAGCCGACTGCTTGTCTTGTATTTGAAAGAAAACAAGTAGTTTTGTATCGTCCACGTAACACTGTGAACTGCATTTCCTGGCTGCAGATGGGAAATAGTTAAAATAATGCTGAAAAGAAGCGGAACAAGAATGCTACCTTGAGGGACTCCGCTGACTATATAAAGTGGAGAGGTTCTGAGACGGCTGAATTAATCCTGACTACTTGGTGCCTTTCGCTAAGTAACTGCGAACCCACTGGATGCTGGAATGGGAAGCCCCGACCTCTTGTAACTTTGTCAGTAGAATTCTGTGACTTATGCTATCAAAGGCTCTGCTTAAATCTAATAGTGTAATAGCTGTTAGTTTCCTTTGATCCATACAGTGTAGCTCTCAGCATTTCAACAGTTGTTTTGATGACAGAGGTTTCGGTCGAATGCCACGCCTTGTTTCCGCTCTGATTCTTTGGTAGTCTTCCTTTTGCATTTAATAAATAAGATAAGACTGGTTATGGACAACTCTTTTGCAAACTTAAGAAAGGACTGGTAAGAGCGAGATAGGTCTATTGTTACTTGCTTGCTCGTGGTCACCTTCATTTGGGATGGGTGTCACTTCAGCTGTTAAAAATAGTAACCCCTTCCTGAGCAGCTAAAGATGGGCATCGTGTTTTTTCACTTGGGTAATTTCCTCATTCCTCGTCCCCTTCCTCGCCCCCCCCCTCCCCCCCCCCCCCCGCCCCATTAACCACTCAAGTAAAAATAGATAATTGCTTGGCATTTTTTTCCCTTACAGTATAACGTGTCGTTACTAATTTCTGACCTTCATCCTTCCGGACATTGAGAAATTTATTCGTTTCGCTAAGTCTACCAAACTTTACAGGGTCAATGCATTTGTAATTTACGTTACGTGGCAGCAGTTTCCATTTTTCTAAAATGCACAGACCGGCTGACGTTTAAGTTTTGTTTTCGTTTTGTATTGCATTTATTAGTCTTTGCGACTATCTAGGTGTTGTTTGTTTATATTTGATGGGTGATCTACCACGTACGTGATTAATTTCTGAGCAATCTTTGATCTAACCGGAAATTCCCAAAATTATTGTCCTTTTACGCTATTAAAAGGTGACAGGGTCATCTTTAGTTAACTCCTGGTCTTTTTAAAATACACTGTCTATAAAGCAACACTTTTCTGTTTCTTAAAACTTGCAAAGCAAAGTAAGTTTTTCTTTTTTGTCTAATATTATTGCATTTAAAACCCTTTTGGCTATCAAAAGGGGTTGATAGACAGGGTATGGTTTTCAGGCTGTTCAAGGTCTTGAGTTAACGGGGTTATCGATAAATAGGACATTCTTTCTTGCTAGGAATGCTTTTATACCACAGTAGAGAAATACTATATAGCGGAGGGGAATTTGCTCTCCCATTTTGGGAGAAAAAAACGCTTATTAAACAGTTTAAAATTGAACACAAAGTGAAAGGGAAACCTCGAACTGTCTTTTGAACTCGGGGGGTACTCCTGGGAATTCTTGGTTGGCGGTGTGCTGCCCGGTTCTCCAAATCCTGACCCTATTTCAGACCAAAAAACGTCATTTTTCACAATCTTTTTCAGACCTGTCTTTACTTAGATTAAAACAGCAAAGAAAAAGATTTCTTAAAACCCATTTCGAATTCGAATATTTCTCTTTCTTTCTTACTTATTTGGACTTGACACTTGATTCCAGACCAAAATGGACAAACCTGAACCTGTTTTCAGACCAAAACGGCTTAAAAACCCCACTCTTTGGGGCGGCACATACCTAGTGGGTTCCCCCGGCTTTTTGAAGGCATTGAAAAGGGCGCAATGGGATAGCGTCAGAGTCATGGATGTACACACACAAAGAGATGTCCAAGCAAGTTTTAGAAGAAAAAACACTGACAATAAGGTTTAAACTTCAAGATAAAGTAAAAAAAGACCGTCAGAAGGAATTCGTCGTAGCATCTTTAGAAGGAGACATTGCAAGAACGAAGTACTTGAGGTTTAAAAACATCTCTATTTTGGCTTACAATCAAAAGGGTGGGTCTTTTAGATCGATTAGTAGAGACTACTCAATGTCTTCATCTTCAATATTAGACAGAGTAAAATGGTGACAAAAAGTCGTTCTCTTCCCTCCCCCCGCCCCGAAAGTAAGGATGAAGCCGCGTGAAGGCCAAAAGGCACCATTTTCCCATCTTTTATTTGTAGGGAGGAAATGGTTCTAAATTTTCCATTAATTTTGTCCAAGATTCTAGTTCTAAATTTGGAGAGCTGGAGGGCATATAACCACACAAGACAAAAAATTGGCGACACAAAGGTGGAAAAATAGTAAGAAGTCGACGCTGGACAGCCTAGCCCAGGCCCTTGCTAGCCCCAAGGAATAAATCGCACCATGTAACGGAATCCAAGACAGTCTTGGATTTTGGATTCCACGCCGTGGATTCCGGATTCCGGGTACTGGATTCCAGTCTTTGTCATTGAAACCTGGATTCTGGATTCCAATCATTAGTGGGATTCCGGATTCCTTGTACTGCATTCTGGAATCCAAACTCCAGGATTGCGGATTCCAAAACTAAGAATATCCCGGATCCCGGATTCCACAAGCAAAAACTTCACGGATTCCAGATTCCATTACATGGGGCGAAATAAAGTCTAAGAACTGAAGTAGACAGTATAACATAAGCACAACAGGCTCATCCATGGGCCACCCCCGACTAATTAAAATAAAATAAGAAGTAGACGGTGGCAGACGGTACAGGCCCTATGGGCCAGCCTTAACTAATGTTAAAAAGAAATTTTAAAAAGATAACAGACAGAAGACAGAATTTTAAGTCAATCTTGGCTCTATGGGCCCCCAGATACACGTATATTGAGGATTCAATGTGGCTGGTAGGGTTCTTTATAGTCTTAAGACGAACGTAGGTTTTATCCCCCCAGACTTTGAGGCACAGGACTATTTCGGGACGACTATATATTTGAAATTTGCTCTGGCCATCAATTCGGGCCGATTTTTGGGGTGAGCGAAAGCTCTGTGTTGATGTTCGTTACGATGTAGCCGCATTTTTTGATTTAATGACAGAAGATTGGAGAGAGTTTAAATAGCAAACCACTGGGTAATCGCCAGGGCGAAAAAAGGACTTTGACGCTGATTACCAGGGATTACAGCTGCTCGCACGATGTGAGTGAGTGTGACATAACAATTTGAAAATTTAATTTATGCGCCGCTTCGAAACACCGGAAATGAAAAATCATCAAATACCAAACACATGCTCTGCTTTGCCTCGATCTTCGTCACTGATTTAAGATATTTCCATTGATCTTGCGTTTAGCAAAGTGAGAGGTGAAATTCCTGGTCCGGTTGGTTCAATTACAAAAAATCCTCACCATTTACCAGCTTCTCTAAGGCTTTTCTTTGTAATTCAGGTTTTTAATCTTGTGCGTGGAACTTGATAGCATGTTAAACTTTATAGAGCATATTTCTAGTCAGCTAAAATGCGAAGACTGGCGCACTTAGGAGAATTAGGCGTTTTGTATCTATGGACGTTATGCTAGTATTATACAAGACTTTCATTTTACCGCTTCTAGCATATTGTAGTGCCCTCCTGTTAGCGGCGGGAAAAGTCCAGGCCAATAAAATTGAAGACGCCAATCATTATGTATTAGGGATACTGACAGGGCACGGGAAATCATTGTCTTACCAAGAACTCGTAAATATATGTAATATAAGTTGAACACTTTAGAGTGTAGGAAAAAGCAGCAATCTCTGATGCTATTATTCATTAAATGCATTAGGAGTATAGGGCCGAAATACATAAGAGACTTTTTTAGCATAAAAAAACGTCTTACAATTTAAGAGAAAATGGTGTTAATCTTTGCGTTCCCAAATTTAATCTCAATTTTATGAGGAACTCTTTTACTTACAAGTGCGCTCAATTGTGAAATAAACTTCCAGAAGATGTCAAGCTGGCCGATAATGTTAATGTTTTTAAGTCTAAGCTAAGATCAATAGACCTTTTTACCGATACGGAGGCCATATTGAATTCATTGGATTTAAGGAGTATTATGGGATACCCAGGGGGCATGAGCACGATCTCATAGTACTCGCATATGTCAAAGCAAAAATTGTTAAATCAGCAGCAATATAAAATATAATTACCTTATATGTCATCAATGTTCCCCCTTAAATTTGGCAGAAAATATAAAAGTGGCTCATCACACAATCCCTCTGCGTGACAAGCCAAAAGGACCTCTGCACGCATAGGAGGCTTCTAACCCTGAGCAGACCTTAAATCACAAAGGGATGCGAAGGGTGGGTATGCTTAGAACTGACTAAGCCAGAATGTTTTTAAAGTCTTCTGTTTATGGTAAATGGGTTCGTATGAAAAGGGAGCTCTAATTTATTTAAGGCTTGACTAAATCTATAGTTAATATTTTCTATTTAAAAGAAGATGAGTGGTAGCAAATATCGTTCTTTATTTTTATCTCGTCTTTGGTTCTATCCTGTCAATCATAGGCTTACATAACGCAAAATGTACAAGAAACTGTGCAACGCAATTAACCCTGTGAAAGTCAGTTTGGGCAAAAGACGGGTTGAAAATTCTTGAGAAAACCAGAGGTTCCGAGAGTACTTCCTCTTCTTCGTTTTTAAACCACTGAAGAGGTGGGAGCACCCTCGAAACGTCTGGTTTTCTCAACCATTTTCAACGCCTATGTTAACAAAACTTTGACTTACTAAGGCATACCTTTCCTCCATGGCCATGATCGTTTCCGTTTTGTTTTCATACTGAAAGCCTTGACAAACTTTCCAGTGAGAGTCCTCGTCGAAAAACTGTTAACGAGGTGGTAACTATCCTGGTGGTTGTCTCCTTGCTTTGGTGGGTCCTAGCCCTTGGATCTTCCTAGGGAAAGCAGTTTACGTGGTGTACCAGGAAGATCTAGCACTAGGGACAAGTACAACCCCATTGCACGTAAACAAAATACAGACCGCATATGGCACTAGGATGATCCGCGTTCTAGGATCTTTTTAGTGCTAGGATCTTCCCCCCTGCAATGTAAATAGGCCCTAAGGAATAACTTCACATAATTGAACTAAAACCCCGGCCTAGAACATCAATACCATCGTGACATAGCCGTTTTAACAACAAATTACTTAAATTATCTCAATCATGGGCGGCCTATCCAAGTTTGCCTCTATTTGCGTTTACTAGATAATATTCGTAACCGCTAGGAATGTAGGAAATGATCGCCTAAGTCATTACCACGACTTCAAACTTCATGCACCCTTTTTAGTAATAAGTAGCTGACAAGGGAGCAAAAATGAGTACGGATGTCAATAAACACTGGTCTGGCAGATTGTTCATCATATCGTTTAACGTACAGACCTTTTTTCTGATTTTCTTTAAGATTGTTGAAAAACGAAAAAAGACCACAAGTGCTACTTCCAGCGTAGGGGTAAGTTTATTTATTTCTCTGCAGGATTTGAAAGCAATGTTATGTAAATGATTACAATCACTAACAGATTTAGGGTGATCCGACAGCGCCACCTCCCCGCCTTTTTTAAGGGACCCGGCCACCATCTTTAATTTCCTGGATCCGGTCGTGGCATTTTGTGCATGTCATTTTGCTCCAAATATGGAAGAATTGATGTCTTTAGCTTGTAGATTCACCAAAGTAGGTCATGTGATGTTCCGAAGGGACTTTGCCTCCTGTATTGTCATAAATTATGCATGCATATACACTTAAAAATAAAGGGCTGATTACGTGAGCCAGGCTGGCCTGCTTTGCCGACCTTCCTCACCTTGCAGAGGTGACTGCTCCAATCAGGAGTAGACTAGCTCGGAGCCGCTATGTTTACAGAGAGTTTGGCAACTATGTGGATGAGCAGTGTGTTACCAGGCTTTCCTGTTACTTTTTTAGTTCGCCAGGCTTTCCTGGCGAGCGTAATTACATACAAAATATTTAGCCCGGTTAGCCGGCAGGTCTCGGTTGTCATGTAATCACAAGGACTTGAGGTTTAGTGCTTGTAATCGATGAACCGAGATCTTGGCAAAGTGTCCCAGCCCGCCTCATATCGCTCATACAATCAGCCCCATAAATCGGAGGAAAAACTTTCGATTAACACCATATGGACTAAACTCGGAAAAAGATAAGAGTTAAAAAGGTCTATTCTAGTGAAAATGCGCCATGAAGACAGTCAATCGCTATACATTAAAAACAGCAATTACGTCATGCATATCGGGGTTACTGTGACAACACTGGACTATGCGGGGATGCTCAGCTCGAAAGAGATACATTTACACGCAACAACGTTTGTTTTGTTTTTCGTATTAAAGCGGAAGAGATACCATTTTCTATGAAAGCTGTAAGGAGGGAGTATCTTTTTTATACCCTGTAAGAGTTTTCGGATCTCGGGGCAGACCATCCCTTTAGAGGAACTTGTTCAACAACCTTATCCCCCCAGTTTAATTGGTTGCTTCCTCGTAATGACATTTCTGTGTTAACTTTGTCAGTTAGTTGTTGTTGGAGCTTGATTTTGCATCGCCAACCGCAGCGTTATTGTTTGTGGAGTTGTTAATAAAGATTCAATTTAAAAAAAACAGCGGCGTTATGGCGTTTCATGTTTGACCAAGTTAACTTTTTCCCGCTGAGACAGGATACCGTCCTTAACGACTACGACGAAGAAGAGCACTTTATCCGCGTGAACACCGATGGCAAGACAGCAAAATTTAAACTGACCAAAAAAGATTGGGAACTAATGGAAATCAAAGAGTACCCAAGCGGGGGTCGTCTGTTGGGTGGTGCCTGGACCACTATATTTAGGCGAGGAGTAAAGCAGAGCAATGAGTGGTGCAACTTACGCCTCACAAATAATCAAGTGAGAGCGGAGAACTCTCGCAGAATGCATTCCTCGCCATTCTTCAGAGGAGCTGGGGAGTGCAAGTTTCCACAGTGCAACGCGAAGGTAAAGTTCGTCATCCATAAAGAAAGAGGAAAATACGTTCACGTGACATATGTGGGAAATGTTTACCACAAAGTTCGTGGGTCGTCTGTGGCAAAGAAATGAATTCACACATGGCAAAAATAGCACGAAAAAACTGCTAGAACGAGCTAGTTGTTTAGGCCTTCTAGAAATCAATGAGTTAGTCGAATGTTGATCAAGAGAGTATCTCCCACGTGGCCGTCAAAGTGTAACAAAACCAAAAAAATCGTTCGTATTATTTTTCAACGATGATTTTAAGGTTTTATGGAAAGAGTACATAAATCATTTAAAAAACATGAAGCCATCCTTTAAAAGTTTTGGCTTTCTCAGAAGTCTAACTCTTCATTTTAGCGACAGCTATGATAGAAGAATCATCATGTTAAGTACGCTGACGACCACATTAATTTGTTTAAGAGGCTTCTTACAAGTAAGATCTAGCTAGGTAGCAAGTTGCATGATGGTGTAGCTTGTTAGTGAGTGGGATGAAAAGTTTGTCTGATAATAAGACCGGATAGAAACCTTTTTGAGGTGTAAGACCCTGGATCGAAAGTCCTCATCGGGAAATTTCTCAGTGTCGCATGAACATCTCAAGAAGAAAGCTCTTCATGCTCTCTTTAGCTTGAGACGACACACGAATCTTAGCAAACTAAAAACAGCTCTTGCCCTTAAAGTATTTGATGCCATGATCTTCCCTATTCTAACGTGTACATGTAATAGTGACATTTGGACTGTGTGTGACAAACCAGATTTTAAGTTCGGGGACGGTTCCCAAATTAGAAAGACACACCTTCAATTTTCCAACTGTTACTAAGAACTAAACAAGGCCTTGTAGAGCTTGTAGAGCTGAACTTGGTGGTTTTGCATTAAATATCACTATCAATCAAGAAATCCTCAACTGCATTTTGTATATTCAGTCTAAAGATGAAGAATCTCTCGTCAAGCAATCTTTTTTAATGTCACTTTTCACAGCAATGGTAAAAGTAGCTTTCACTCTGATTTGTAGATGATGTCAGAATATTTTAACCAACCTTACTTTAATCCTGATTTATTAGATACCGCGATAGTAACAAAAAAATTGTAGTTTTAATAAAACAGGAACGTTCTCAAAAACTAGAATTTTATAGGTTTTTTAAAACGATCATACCACTTCTAAGGGTCTCTTAATTACTAACCTTAACAAGAGCAACAGCTGAGAGAAGGGCTTTAGTAAAATTACGAATAAGCAATCACAAACTAATGCTAGAACTTGGTAGATACAATCCAACTACTACAAATAACAGGCATTGCCCTCTTTGTGGATCCAATCAAATAAAATTAGACGAAGCTCACTTTCTTTTTTATGTGTTCTATATACTCTATGATTATGAATACTGAATTTTTGCAAGAAAGTCAAGTTTCTGATAAACGTTATGATCAATGAAGTGATGAGCTCCTCTTCTCCTCTTTATTCACATACAATGCATGAAATATATTTCAGCTTGCTTTGATTTTTGTGACAACTGAGTAACAAAGTAACTTAATTTTCCTGTTATGAAATCTTAGTTCTTCCCCTTAAAATAGCTTTTGTAATACTATTTCTAGTTGTATGGTCATGAAAATAAAGCTTGTTGTTCAGTTGTTGTTGTTGTTGGATACCTCTGGAAACGCTCGTCCTGTCGCAAAACGATGAAATTATCGAAACTTACTTCCCAAGATCGAGGCCTATATTCCAAGGAGGGGGTGAGTCCCTTGAGGAGGGGTTTGGGAATGCTAGTCGGAAAATTGGAATTAAACCCCTCAAGGAAATCTGGACGTGACTCGTGATTTATCTAACACCTGCTAAAAGATGCCATTATAAAAAGACCGTCAAATATGAGCTATGGTTATTTCGAGTTAAGATAAGGACGTTGTATTTGGATGTCATTATTCCTTTTATTATTATTTTCTTCCTTCACGCACAGTCCTGAACTCTCTACGTAAGACCAAATCTGCAAATTTACACCCCTAACGTAGGCGGTGAAAATCCCCACCCCTTTTAAATGGAATCCCACGGTCCTGGTGTTTCTTTTTATCACATTTTCTTGTGCTTGGATGATATGGAAACACTCTTCCTCAAGGATACTTTGTTTGATTTTTAATTTTTTTTTAATTTTTTTTCAACTAGATGTGATTTTTTATGCTCCTGAATAAGTAAGATGTAGTTAGCGTACTGACAATTGGTCATGCAGTTGATCATTTGTAGCCATATGGTCAAAACTTTGAAGCTTCTCTCAAATCTGTTGTTTTAACAAGCCATTATTATCATAATTATTATCTTAATTTATTCAGATTGAAAAGCAAAAGGTAGTCTTTGCCGGGTTTGCTATGTAATAGAGCGGTCACTAAGTTAGCGTGGGAGTGTTTTGTTACCCACCATGCAGAGACAGCGAGCAGATAGAGATCTGGCACGAGTTGTTCTAAAGTCGAGTAGCACAAATCCACGGTATAGAAACTCATATGCTATACAATACAATACAATACATTTTATTAACTCTCTCAATAGGGTTTTTAGGGAATCAATTTCCATGTACAAGAAAAATAGAAAAAATATCAAGATGTGTAGAAAACTAATGATGTAATAGTGTTTACAATTTTACAAAATGATATTATAAAACAAAGTGCTGATTGGACTATCAAAACTGAGCGCAACTGACTTCAACTCTAGCTTTCTTCTTAAAACACTGATTAGATTTAGAGCTTCTTGTCTGACCAGTAAGGCTATTCGATGATGCTACTACCCTGTCGAAAAACGAGCGCTGAGCAATTGCTGTGCAACATTTGGGAAGGCTAAGTTGATCAGGATTTCTAGTGCTGTACTCGTACGTTTTTGAACGCTCTGTAAGATTTGAACTTAAATAGCGAGGCGTCAGACCATTCAGACATTTATAAATCATGGTAGTGTCCCGCAAGCGCAGCAGTTTTTTGTACAGTAAACCAGCCTAGTTCGTGCAGTATTGGGGAAATATGATCGCACTTTCTGGTGTTGGTTAATATGCGCGAGGCAAAATTTTGTATCAGTTGTAACTTCTTAATATTTTGTTTGAATGTACCGGACCATACGGTTGAACAGTAAAATAATTTACTAAATATAAGATAATTTAGGATTATGTTTAGAACATCTTTGGTAAACAGATGTCTAACCCTACTTATTTGACACAAACTAGAAAGTAGAGAGGACGGTACGGTTGAAATGTGCTCAGTGAAAGTCAAGTTTGAGTCCAGAATAATACCTAGATCTTTGGCAGATGAGGCAGGAGTCAATTCTTGACCGAGGAAGGGTACCGTAAAATGTGGTAGCTTGGAGACAAGCTGACGCGTGCCAAACAATACAAGATTCCTCTTTTCAGGATTTATCAACAACTGATTTGCACAACACCATCCCGCAACAAGTTCGAGATCCTGGGAAATCTGATGCAAACATGAGTGGACATCCTGTGCAGAACTTGACAGATATATTTTCGTGTCATCCACGTACGATTCAATATTACTAAATTTGGTTACTCCAGGAAGATCGTTCATATATAAGCTAAAAAACATCGGTCCCAGGATAGAGCCTTGAGATACCCCATGAGTTACCCCGATGGCCTTACTTAAGTCAATCAGTACCATAACTGTGATTATTTGCTTGTTGCCCATGGCCCTGAAAATATGGTCGGTCGCAAGCAGGCTCAAGGCTTCAGTTGAGTGCAGCTTACGATTTCCACTCTGATGGCTAGTGAGGCGATTTTTCTGTACCAAGTGGTTGTTCAATTGACACATAGCAATTCTGTCGTCTACTTTGGAAAGAATTGGCAGTAGGTGTGAGTTAACTAAGGACTAACATTAACCGGGCTTCAAGCAACTCTGACCCGGCTTGAAATCGATAACTCGCCCGAATAACAAGTTCCAATCTAATTCGATCACCTCCAGGGGACCGTTCACTATTTATGGGAGGGGGGAAGGGAGATAAAATGGGGGGCCTGAAAATTTAGCCAGTGCAAAAAGGGGAATCCGAGGGTAATTTTTTGCCTTTGATCATGGAATGACTGTCATGAAATTTTAAACAGATAATTTCTTTAAAAAAATAGAAACATAACTACATTAAACGTTTTATAGATGGGACCACAGATTTCGTGGCAAGAAGCCTTTTCGGTCTCCATATGTCTTCACAGTAGTTTGGAACAGTCATGGAGTATGACCTATGGTTTAATGTTCATTTTTTTGTTTAAGCATATTTTGATATGTTTAAAAACTGGATTGCAACAAAATTAGTAGCTATAGTTCTTAGTTTTGCCATGCGTTTTATACATGTCCTGGCCCCCAGCTGGCCCATGATATTCGGAGAAACCCTAATACCTACAATAATATGACACTGATTGATTGATTGATTGATTGATTGCACTCCAAACATAAGCGCCATAACTTGAGATATCTATTACAATAAAAGCCGGGTGGTCTTCATATTAGCCCCTAGTTGATATTCCATAATGGAAATTTTAGAAAGTCATTCTAATATTTTTTTTTTTTTTTTCATTTCCTGTTCAATAGTTTATTTCTCCACCACCACATCATCTTCAACATCATCATCACCATAATCGTAGCCTTCATCATCATAGCATGAGCTGGAGATTCTTCTCCAACACGCTAACTACTACAACATTGCCCCCTAACGAAAATACTGTATGGATAAGTTGTGGTTAAATTATATCCTTAGTTTGAATTTTACTTGCCTTTGTTTCAGAGATATTATCATACATTTCCATTCCCGAAAACAATGGCATATAAATCGCACCACAACAAAGCCACAACAGATACATACAATACAACTATATTTGGGGCGGGGCTATTTTAAAAGTGTTTGATGGGACTACAGTACGCTTGATTACAACTCATGTTTCAATAAACGAAAGGATATTTTATTAACTTTCCATTTCTATTTAAGTTTTAGCCAAAACAAAGTTACACTTCGTTGAAAGAAAAACTTAATAAGCGCTCCCCTCGATTAAGCGGCCTCCTTTCAATAAGCGCCCATCCTTTAAGCGGTAATTTTAATTAAGCACCCAGACGCTTAATGCGGAAATACGGTT